CTAGGTAGGTGATTCCCGTTGCCAGCCAGAATTTATTGTAATTATTTTTACATGCTAATTGGCCAGTGTTTATTAATATTCAAACCTACAATAATTTTAAGAAATTAAGCTTATTTTATCATTTTATTTGCTACAAAGTCATTATAACTCTTTCTTTCATTCAAAATAATAATCTTGCGCTACGTGATTGACAGTGCGTCGCTGAATCTGGAATAATCAATTGTCATAGCACTTGCCGAATACATCGTGTTGTCTTCGGCGAATTTACCTTTTTGACGGTTTTATTGTATTTAGTGTCGCTACCAATACAAAAATGATCCACCTGCCGTGCGTCAACGATGGCGAGAATCAAAAGAGCCGGGTAGTGGTCTATAGTATGATTTGGCGCATCAGATGCTTGATCAAGTATTGCAAATTTTTGGCCAACCTAAATCGATTTTTGAGGATATAGCTTTGATCCGCCCAAAAGCCGAAGCAGTTGATTATTTTTACGATTGACAAAATTATTCAACGATCAAGGTTGTTTTACATGCCAACACTATCGCAGCGTTAGAATTGCTTTACGACCTTGCGGTTCCCACAGGCGTAATTAATCCAGATCATCAGCATGTAGCGTGGCAGAAGCCTGAAGGCCACCTCCCCGAATGTCTTGCACTGTGATAAGAAATAAACAAGCGGCCGGCTCATCAGCTTCAGTTCTAAGCCGCTGGATAATTTGATTTGCCGTTTATGTTAACGGATGTCATTTATCCTTTAACGCAGCAGGATAAAGAGCCTGCCAAAAAATGACCTGGCGAAACTTGTACCAATACGTATTTAAAGTTGATCACCTATCTTCTCTATTTTGTGGAAAAAACCTCTCTTTGCAGGGATGAATTTTGGATTGAATCTCATCTATTGGAGCTCCATGAAGAGCTGACATCAAAACTCGGGCTGGTTGATAGGCAATTTCACGATCAGCATGCCAATCAACCGTAGCCTGCAAATCTGTTAATACGATAGAATTTCCATCAATATGGCGCAACAAATTTTTAAATAAATATGTAGTACTTTAAGTGATTTCGGCAGATTCGAAGTATCACCTAAATGTTTTGCTGCTATAGGCAAGTCCCTTTACACTTTACCTTCATACACTTTATGCTGCTGAATATAAGTACAGAACCGTTTTTCAATAATAAAATTAAAACCCAATTTAACAACTATAAGCATGGTATTTCAGAGAACAGAGCTAACTAGCCGTTTTAGCTCTATTATTACTGTTTTTTATTGGTCAGAAATAATGCATCTACTTTTTAGACACCCTCAAATGAAGTGAAACACAAACCTCGATCAAATCGTGCACAATTGTCTAGTATTTTAGAAAATATAATTTTAGACGCGATATATCCCAGTTTAAAAACAGTCAATTGAATGGATTTTGGAAACGCTTTTCTGAATCTTCTTCCTTCCTAAGTCACGAGTACAATATTAAACAAAATAACCTACTGATTCTCTAAATTATTTCGTTCTTTAGATAAATCGATTAGTTGTCCAATTAATAAAACTTCACTTTTATTATTAAGCCATTGAAAGGCGTGAAATTCGCCAGGGGAGCTGTGTACACAAATAAAATGTAAAAAGACCAGTTCAAACTCACTTTTTAGACATTTGTAATATATTACGCGGCTATTTGAATAAATTTATATATACAAAATGTCTGTGTAAAAGATAAAAATGAAATAGCAAATAACATTGCTTGTATTTTTCTTTTCTTCCTCTCACGCATTTGCAACCACGTTCCTTTATGCTTTTCCCACCCAAGTCTGGATTTTATTGTATTTATTACCATTTTAAATAGAAACCGGTGGACCGTTTCAGTTAAGTATAATAAAATTGTTACTAAGCTTATCATAATAAATTGCTATTGCTGCTTGATTATTATATGAAATCACACCTCTTCGACATAACCGACGGCATACAAAACATCCGCCTTCACGTCACATTAGGTATGTGGGAGATGAGTCACGTCTAAATATGTGCATGAACATCGGCTTTCTGGCCATTTGTTCGGTTTATTCTCTGGTCAGCCAGACCGCGAGCCTTGTTTATTGTACAGTTGTGAAGGCGATGCAACGTTATTAAGCAAGTGCGAGAAGTATTTCAACATGGATTTAACTGCAAAGCAGTATTTCTTCCAACATGGATGATTTCTGTTCATTTCTTCTTGTTCAATGTTGGTTTTATAAATTAATTTGTAGAACATCGTTATTGTTATACACTCTGCATTCTCTATATAATCGTATAATTCATATACTCTCATGTTGATGTTCATTTTGCCAGTATTATCGTAATTTTATATTGCTCGTACGTTTGTACAAATGTGGAGAATAGAAGAGTTATAATTATGTTATCTCAGAATGAAATATTTTTAAAATTATAATTAGACCAAGGATTGCTCCATATCACATTAAAACGTGCTTGGCATAGGCAGACTCCAAACTTTAAATACTTACTGAAATTCGCTAAATAATATGACCTGATGATGAAGTAATAAATTAAAATTTCCCCCGATTGGATAATAAATGCCGCGTCTGGGATACAAAACTAGCGAAGATAAGCGGACCACATGATGGAAAATGGCAGTTCTATTTGTGACAGGCTTGTTATAAGTAATTAACTGCCAAGGGAGTTTGGTCCTCTTCCGAAGAAAAGGGCAAGTGCGCCCCACCTTGGCCAAGGGGTTTCTTCTGGTCCCAGTCATCCGCTCCGGGTCAATTATGGCATTCTTCCCTCTCCCTTCTGACGAAGAGATCCACTTTCCCGGCCCCTGCCGCGAAGACTTCTTCCTCGAGTCTTTAGTGACATCCGCTCCATCCCACCGAACCTAATCCGTTTTTTTTCTTTTTTTTACAGAATTACATTTTCCACATACTCAAAGTAATTAACTAATTTCTTAGTTAATTAATACGTTAAATAATATCAAATGTAGATGGTGGGTTTTTGTCTGCGAGTCGTGGTCGACTCATGTCGAACCGGGACACGCCACTTATGGGTCTGTTTTCGAACCCGCGATTGAAGACCCAGTAACAAGACCCGTGTCCCGGTTCAACAAAAATATCAAATTTGTACGAGAGCCAATAACATCGATTTTTCGCAAGGTTTTTCACAACATCCCATATCTGTATTTTGATTTACCAAAAAACGCAGCGTATAGTGGTATGCCTTACCATACGTGATGTAAGGCAAAGGTGCTTAAAAAGAACAAATCGTAGAAACATCAGTTGAATGTAATGCTGTAAATAAGTAATTCAAACATTGTATTGAATCGATTATTTCGGTACTTTTCTAATGTCGTCGTCTGGTTCTTGGTGGTGGAGGGTGCATACAACGAGACAAAAGGAAATTAGACATCAAGCCATTCTGTATTCTATAGAACGTCAGTTTCTTCTGGTATATCTAAGTCAATATAAGTCGTATTTCATACCGTTAAGGTCCTGGGCATACCATTCCTGAAGATAGGATGATAGGTCATTTCACAATCGACTTATATGGCCTTCTTTTCAGTCAATTATGTGTTTCCGACCGTTTTGGTGGTTCATTGTATGAAATGTCCAGATTAATTTGTTTTCCCAACAATAGGCCCAGATATTTGCGTCTTGTTGCACAGCAGTTTCTACCAATAGGAATTTTCTCTTTCTCTTGGAAGTTTTAGGGTTTAATTTTGAACATCTGTATATTATACAAAATTACGATCTTTTGTAATTTTAGATAGCTAATTGTGTGAATTCAAAAATTCCGGTCTGCTTATTTAAATTGTAGGCTCGGTTTTGAACAGGTGACATTTGTCTCCAGTGTCTTCTTTCCACAAGTTGTTTCGATTGACGTAGAATCGATTAAAGGTAAGGCGAAGCTCTTTAGTAGCGCGAGGGATATAAAAAAAACAACAGATTGATGTTAGCTAGGTGTTTATGAACCCTGTAGTCGCCCCGTATTAGCAGAACGGGTGGCTGCCGTGGTCATAAAGTTTTCGACCAATTACGGCAGAGGAGTCAATAATCAGACGGGTCAGCGGGGAAATCAGTATTTCGTCTGTTTTACATCGCATTCCTCCCTCCCGGGCCGTTCGGCTCCTTCGTTTTTTTTCTCTTTATTATCCGTTATCTGAATCGATTAAAGGTAGCCGGTGCTCCTAGCCTCGGGCGCGCCCCGAGGACCACCGCCTACATCCAATGCCCTATCACTATATCTCAGACCAACATCCCACCCTCCACTTTATTATACAATGTAGAGTAAAATAACTCTCAAATAATATTTGAAAGTGTACTATAATTAAGGGGTCATTACTCACGACCGCGGAGATCGAACGATAACAAACTTGTTGAATTTCTCGAAATGTGCGTCGTGGAGGAAAACCGTTAAACAAACTTTTTATCCTAGCTTAAATGTTGTTCATATCTAAAACTCTATATTTTCTCTCCAAAGTAAAGCCGATATATTAAATTCTTCCCCACTATTTGTCCTCATTTTAAGACCCCGTGTGTGGCATATGTTACCCTTACAATATAAGAAACTAAACAAACAAAAAAAGAAATGCAAATTTTGTTCCACGAGTCCAATATAGAACGTTTAACACATTTTTTACATTGTGCCTTGACGTTAGAAGTTTCCAATAAAGGTTTTACTGTTTGGTAATTCCCATTGAATATAAAAATCTGGAGTGTTGTTCAATATGCAAGCGCACGTTTTTCTTCTTATTATTGTCTGTTATATCAAACTAACGAGGCGAATATTTCCGAAGGTTCCGAGGAGTGGAGGAGGCTAGGATTTCTGATTTGTCACTGTGTTTGTACTGTCGAGTGTTTGTCCAGACGTGTTATTCCAAGACGTCTTGCCCCCGTTTTCTTTATGGTCCGAACGCGAGATAAAAATAGAAAAGAAAGGTTTATTAAAACGCTGACTGTAAAAACGTGATTGGGGTGAGATCAAGTAGTTTTGTCACTAACGATTCACTTTTGTTGCAGGTCGCTGGAGTGTTTGAAGGACCACACACGACTCGAGGGCAGTGCAAACAAGATGTGCCTCTGATACGAGAAAGGATGTGCGTTGAGAAAGCCTCGGACATGTCTGACAAGGAGTGGAGAGGCTACAGCAAACTGGAGCACCTCGTGCGGGCCCTGGTCCCCGCAGACAGGATCACCGTCAAAAGGACAATCTATTTCGCGACTGCGTTGGTCGCCTTTGCCCTCGGTCTCACACTCGGATTGGCGATCCCGTTTTATATCGTCCCTGTCTTGCCGAAAAATTCCTCTTTAACTCTGCCCGTCATCCCGATCCAGCGCCCTTTCGAGACGGTGAGCTTCGTGAGAGAGACGACCGTTAAGCCGCGCCCCAAGCAGAGCAAGGAAGGATTGGTCGACGGCATATTTTGGGGTGAAGAGATTGAAAAAGCCTTGCCAACGGGATACGGGGAGCCTGAAGCGGAGAGGTGGCGCAGGTTCGTCCGGAACAACCCCGTGATTAAAATCGAAGAAGGATGTGGCAGGATGCAAAACAGATTGCTCACCTTCGAAGACGGCACTCGAGCCTGCTGTCGCTACCGCCAAAACACGGACCAGATCCAGGGGGAACTTTTCAGCTTTTATCTGGGGAGACTTTTAGGACTGAACAATTTGGCGCCTTCCGCTCTCGGAGTGGTGCAGAGCAGGGATCCCGTCTGGTCCAAAGTGAGAGCGCAGATCTCCTTAGCACAATGGTCCGAAGAAAAGCCTGTCGTCCTGACTAAGTTCATAGACGATCTGCAGCCAGCTCTAATCCCGAGGTCGCTCCGCACCCATGACAGAAAGTTGCACCCTCAGGACGTCACCTCGGACAGGAATAAATCCGTCGAATTGGCCCAGTGGTCCGATTTGATAATTTTCGACTACCTCACCGCAAATCTTGACCGGGTGGTCAATAACCTGTACAACTTGCAATGGAACCCAGGCATGATGGACGCTCCGGCCCATAACCTGGCCAGGCATTCCAGGTCGAACCTACTCGTCTTTTTCGACAACGAGAGCGGACTCCTCCACGGTTACAGACTTCTCGACAAGTACGAGTCTTACCACAGCGTCCTGCTCAACGCTCTCTGCGTCTTCCGCCGGTCGACCGTCGACGCCGTCGAGAGGCTGCGACACGACAAGGATCTAGGCAGACGGCTCGATGAATGGCTCGCTTCTGAAAGGGATCTCGTCCCCGGACTACCCGACAGGAGTCTCAAGATCCTCAAAGACCGTCTCAACAGAGTGCACGACCAAGTGGAATGGTGTAGAAAACAGTATTTGTGAGGCGATCTCTTCCGCCGAGTTCGGTTCAATTCGTTATAATCCCTTTTTTACTTTAAAAACTTAAACTTTAGCGTTGCTCTTTTGTTTAAAGCAATCCTTGCTCTTGGGTACATATCCTCCAAAACGCTTGTCATAAAATTCATGATCCCAAACGGTCGAATACCTAGAGAAAACTGTTATTTTTAGGCCGCATCTGGTAAGCTAATTATATACCATAAAGATGTGGCTCGGCATAGAAGTGTTGTTCGTTTTAAACAGGCAGTTCAACAAAAACTCCTAACATAAGGGGCCTGAAAACTCAAGAAATGAAATAGAATCAAAAGTGATAAATCAAAAATATAACGCACAATGAATAAACTATGTTAAGCCAATAAAGCTAAATTTTCATATTTTTGTAATTATAAATTATTTGAGGTTATCTAGTAAAGGGGATAAAAAATTAGACATGGAGACATAATTATGCAACTCGTTATCTTGCAATCGATACAAAGACTGTAAAACGTAGTCTCCTAGTTTCTTGTAGTATTGTTAATATGTACTTTATACTTCAGGTTCCGTGATTAATTGGGATTTTCGTTGGACTCGTTTCGCGTCGGCCGGCTGACAGTTCACACCTTCCGCGATGCAGGTGTGCGGAGCAGGCTCGTAGAAAGCGATCCTTTTTTGGGTATGAAACAACCGAACCGGGTTCACTTGACAAGTGCTCGAAGGCGGATTGTACCCAGAGTCCTTCCGGTTTCGGAAGCGGAGCCGAGCCGACGAAAAGGAAGCCGGTCGACCTCACCGCTAAACCAAAGAAAGCGAATGTCGATATTTCGTGCGTGCGAGTGAGTGCGTGTTAGTGTGTAAGTCCCAAGCATTAACATTATTTATTGCTGACAGAGTGGAGTCTACTCGTTGGGAAAAAACTCACTCCTCCCATCCGCGTCTCGCTTCTTTCCAAAGACATCCTCACCCTCTTCCCGACGGCTTCTTTCTGAACCCTTCCCCTGCCCCGATCAGTAGCGTTCCAAGACGAATTCTTCACCGGTCCTCGCCCCGTCACCTTTACTCTCTTTCCTATACGTCCTCTTAAGCTCTTAAAACCGACTAACACCATTCTCCCAACCCCAACCCCTTCTTTATTTATTACAACTGTGAAAATTATTATAGATGAAATTTTTTTTACGAAACGTTTCGAGACTAGTCCAAACATTTTTTAAAAGACTCTGCGTTGTAAATATTTGTGCGATTGTAGCTAAACGATTATCTTAAGCTCTTTTTAAAAAAAATTGTAATATTTCAATGTATCATAGATATTGTAAATTTCAAAGATAAACATATTATATATATATTATTGTAGAATAACATTGTTTATACAACTTGTACTAAACTGATATGTAAATAAATATTCATATTGTATTCATTTTACATTCTCTTTTATACCTCATTACCTTGCTCAATTTCACAACGAAGACAAATAAATTTAAACCATGTTTGTACATTCAAAGATTTTATTTGCATACATTCCTTTTTCTGGCTAACAAAAATTTTGATATTTTTTATTCATATATTACACAAAATATATTCTACTTTAAGCGAACAGTATGTACAAATGTGTGGTTGTTAGTGACCGTTAATCGATAACTATTCAGAAATCGTGAGATGCGGAGACAACAAAACAGCAATATCTCACTGGCATTCTCAACTCGACACGCAAGAATGGTACAATTACACAGAAGACAAACCTTTGAGTGAGTAGAAATACTTTGATTGAATATAAAAAATATATTTTGCTTTGTATAAATTCACTTTTTTCCACATCCTACGTGTTTTTGTTAAATTTAAACAATGTTTGTAAATCCCAGGCCCTGAAGATGATCTCAATAATGATCGAAACGTTGGCACGATAAAGAAAATGTTTTTCTGAAACCTACATCACACCAACCGCATCTCATGATGTCTGAATAATTATCGATTAACGGTCACAAAAATCACATGTATGTACAAATCTGACCTATAGGATTGCGGATCGATGGGCGATTCCAGCTATCAGTGCTGGAACCTAAGTGTGTTTATCAGTTATTAAGTTAGGATAGGATAGAGCTAGGTTTCCATTTTTGAGAACTCAATTCTTACAATTTAAGGGTTTGGTTTTCAGAAATTCACCCAGATGTAAATATTTTAGACCATTGCGAATATGAAAACGTCATTCATATAAATATATTAGAATTCCGTTTTACTGTTCAGGCTCTTTTAACCTAGCAACGAAGAATGTTCTCAACAAATTCACTAGTTTTCGTGGTCCGCTTGACCAATTAATATATTTCAATTAATTAAGGTTTTTAGTTGCGATAAAAAAGTCAGTGTCACGAGCGGGATTCGAACCCACGATCTTCAGCTAGATACGCCGCTGCTCTACCACTTGAGCTATCGTGACCTCGATCCACTCGGACACTAACTTCCCATCTCAACCCCACCTTTCGAATTTTCCTTCCTTTATGCCATTTTTCAAATGTCGTGTAATCTATTTGATTCTCGGCGACAAATGAAATGTCCACGGAGAGCCATGAAGTATACTTCATTTTAACTTATTAAATTCACTAGTTTTCGTGGTGCGCTTGACCAATTAATATATTTCAATTAATTAAGGTTTTAAATTCAAAAGGTGGGGTTGAGATGGGAAGTTAGTGTCCGAGTGGATCGAGGTCATGATAGCTCAAGTGGTAGAGCAGCGGCGTATCTAGCCGAAGATCGTGGGTTCGAATCTCGCTTGTGACACTGACTTTTTTATCTCAACTACGTTCTTATCAAAGTTTGGGAAAACCAAGGAAATTTTTACAAAAGGTAAATAAATATACGTCGCTGGAAACGAAAGTTAAGCTCTTCGATTCCATAGTGTCAGCCTCTGCTTTTATGGAGCTGAGCTACGGGCTTTTAGTCATCTGGAAGAAATCAATAAACTTCAGGTATGCATCATTAAACAACTGCATCAATCCTTCCTTTCACCACTTCAGACCCCTACGTTAGAATTGAGTTTGGTTTAATTCCAACTGGCAACTCTAAATAACACAAATTCCTACCGGCCCGTAAGTAGTAATTGGTTCGACAATCTGAATAACTGGCTTAACTGTTTGGGGTGTAAATCCATCTCTCATTATACGAATTCAGAATACCTTTTATGTAGGAAAGAAGGAAGGAATTTCACATTATATTTGTTTCAACGCTGCACTCAGTTGTTGCAGGTCAACTGACTGCGGATGGTGATCGAAAAGCCTTCTTTGCAACGCATCCCACATGTGCCCAATGGGATTGAGGTCTGGTGACAATGGGGAAAGGAGCAGATGGGAAATTTCCAGGTTTTCTAAAGATTGATGAACTACTCTGCCTCTATGAGGTCTGGCCTTGCCATCCAGAAATCGAAAATCCCTGAGATTTGTGTGCATGCGTTCCTCGATAATTTCTTGGACATAACTGGGGTGAGGTTGCTTTCAACAACATGGAGTCCAGTACGTCCTCCAGTGTAATTCCCAGCCCAGCCCATTACACCTCCTCGTCCAAACTGCCCTTGAGGGAGCACAAAATATTGTATGCATTTCCTGTTCTTGGTCATCTCAAAGGGGCATGCAATGCGAGATCAACTTCCCACCAAACCATTACGAATCATTTATGTCGATAAAGGCCTTGCCAAAAAACCTTGTACTTCATTTATGATCTGGCGGGCACTATTGAAATGTGAATAAATACCTTTTATGTAGGAAAGAAGGAAGGAATTTCGCATTATATTTGTTGCAATGCAAGACGGAACTTGCAGCAGTGACAATATTTCTGTCCTCCCTTAAGCCGGGAACACACTTACACGATGCTACCCGAAGCCTAGCCACGTTTTGGTAGGGTGTGCACATCTATGCGAACGTCACATACAGTCACACAGCGTGTATCACAATCGCAACGCCTCTTTTATTCTCAATGCTCTATTTTGAGCAAAACCTTGTAACAAATTGTTAGTTAAATTTTATGAGCACAACCATGTAATAAATTGTTTGTTAAACTTAATTGTTTTAAATAAAGTTATTCCGGTGTTTTGATAAATTTTCTGCCTAACCATCATAATTAAATAATTTTTATAAAAACTTATGAATTTTTGATCTCGTTTAATTTGGCTTAAATTAAAATAACAGATTTTAATTAATATAACGACAAAATTACATATACTTAGTTTGAAATAAACTACAAAAAATATGAGTGACCTGTTCTGAAGCTACCCGACGAAAATGTGTAATTTTACGAGCAAAACCATGAAATAAATTGTTAGTTAAATTTTATGAGCAAAACCGTGTAATAAATTGTTAGTTAAATTTTATGAACAAGACAATGTAATAAAAAATTGTAGTTAAATTTTATGAGCAAAACCGTGTAATAAATTGTTAGTTAAATTCATAATATCAAAAAATGGTATTCCGGTGTTTTGATCAATGGTCTACCAAACCATTAAAATTATTTTTTGTAAATAAAACTAACGAATTTTTGATCTTGATTTATATTAAAATAATCATGTTGTAATTAGTATAACGACAATAATGCATGTAGTTTGAATAAAAATATGAGTGTCCGGTTTTGTTTTTTTTTTTTTACTTCGACTGTACTCGATGCTACCCGATGAAATTCTGGGCAGTGGGGATCGCGTAGCATAGAGTAGGGTAGTGTGGCATAGCATCGGAAAGATGTGCCCTGGGGTAATGCAACCTTATGGAAAATCGGAGTATGGATTCGCGTCGGGTAGTATCGGGTAGCGTCGCATGGCGTACCATCGTGTGTGTTCCCGGCTTTAGCGTCATAACGCGATGAGATCCAGGCCTCCTATTGTCAGTTCCAGTTTCTCGGAATCGAGCTTAAGTAAATCTTTAGTAAGTTCGTTATTCAAAATGAGGATTAACATTTGCTTGTTTTTGGTTCGTATTTTTTATTTTGTTTATCCAACTAACGAAAATAGAAATAAAGAGAATAATAATAAATTACGAACATTCCTATTCATTTTTGATCAGTTTAGGAGGACGGAATGTTTAGTGCTTTCCTCGATACAATCGTCGAAAATTTTTTTTTTCATCTGTTAAGAATGCAAATGAGAAAGTTGGGAGACCATTTTCAGGCGCACAGCTTTAGTGGTACAACACGAAGATACCGAGTTAGCCTTTGCTAAGGAGAAGCCTTTCTGAGATTATTCACCATGAATGTGGCATTCGAAGACCCAGCCAAGTCACTGCCAATGGTGAAAAAGGTGCACTCTAATTGTAACTGACAGGGGTGAGCAGGTTTGATTGAATGTGGCAATGTTAATATACATGATTATCCCGCAGATCCTATGGAGAAAACCTATTCAGTTGTTTGATTCAAGCGTGCGACTGATTAAGAAATTAAGAAAACAATGGCGGAGAGTTAATTTTCTTTTACATGGCGTAAACATCTCTTTTTTTTAAATGATTTTTCTACTCAGATTTGGAACAGAGACATACAAACATCTTTGAGTTAAACTATGATTTATGCAAAGTGTATCTATATACTCACGCCAGGTTCATTATTTTTAATAGTAATATTTATATTTATTTTTTCTCGAGCATTGCCACAACTAGTCTGACAGATCAAATGGGTGATCATATTAAATTGATTATTAAAACCAACAGTAATTTTAAAAGTAAAAAATATACATAGATAACTTCATATAGTTATTATAGTTCCGAGTCGGTCTCAAATGTCTTACACTACAAAGCAGACCTTCAGTAGCGGCAGGGGAAAAAAGCGTTATAAAAAGTTAATGGGTTATCAGCTTTTAAAAGGAAAATTATAGCCCATATGTGGGTTAATTGATGTCATATTTACTTTAATATGTTTTTATAAAGCGCCTGGTTGTATATTAATTTAGAGTGTTTTTAAAAATCCGGCCTATGGGCGTTGGTGACCGCAACGGTTTTTGTGTTGACACGGCCGCTCATCACTGTAAGGTAAAGGTTCCGGGTTCGAATCCAGCGGCCCTGCATTCGAACACGACATACTTACAAATGAGCTTTTTTCCGGCAACAAATTTACATAACCTTCTTGGCTGACATGTAACCTGATGTAGAGATACTGTTTCATATGATACGTGCATACCCGGCACCCCGAGGGTTCAAATAATCCCGCAGTTGAAATACCAATAAAAAATAAAATAAACTATCCTGGATCTGGTCTGGTCCTGGAAAATAAAACAAATGATCGAAAAGAGGTTACGATATTGGAATTGCGCTTGATAGGTGTTCATTAGCAATAGCAATTTCTAGTATTGTTGAATATTTCAAGTTTCGTTTCCTTTATTATTT